GAAAGATAAACACACCCATATATATAGATAGATAGATAGATAGATAGATAGATATATATATATATATATATATATATATATAGAGAGAGAGAGAGAGAGAGATAGATAGATAGATAGATAGATAGATAGATAAGTATATATATATATATATATATATATATATATATATCTATCTATCTATCTATCTATCATATATATATATATATATATATATATATATATATATATATAGATAGATAGATAGATATATATATATATATATATATATATATATATATATATATATATATATATATATATATATATATATATATAGATAGATAGATAGATAGATAGATATGAAATGACTGGAATACATAGATATGAACAGACTGGAATACATAGATAGATATGAACAGACTGGAATACATAGATAGATATGAACAGACTAGATTAGATAGATAGATAGATAGATAGATAGATAGATAGATAGATATGAAAATAATTTTTTTATATATATATATATATATATATATATATATATATATATTTATATTTATATATATATATATATATATTTATATATATATATATATATATATATATATATATATATATATATATAGAGAGAGAGAGAGAGAGAGAGAGACTCGCAAATTTTATTATGTAAGTAATGTTTTTCGCAATAAAATTGCTTTTAGCCAACCAATGTTGGCATATTTAGTACTCGTCTTGCCAAATACATTTAATGTTATTTTTCATCTGAGTCAGCAACGATAAGCGGCAAAGAATGTTCTTCTCTAGAAAAATTCCTGAAGCTATTTTACTATTACGAAAGCAACTCTAGTCTCAAAATAAAATGCATTCATTTTATTTTGATAAATAACATTTAGCCCTGAATTTAATTCATTTCCTAGGAGGAGTGACCCGTAGAAATGCCACCTCCTCCATACGGTTCTTTTGCGTTCACCGAGTCAGTTCGCCGTGACGCTAACATCTTGGAAGAACCCGTTTCTGGATATGATGTCGATCAGGGGGCGGGGACTAAAAAATTAGACTTTCGGAGTACGAAATAAGTTGCAAGTAAAAGCGTTTACCTTCTTTTAGGTACCGTGTCCCTTCAGAATGTGTACGATCATTGCTCTCCACAACTTCCTGCCCTTTTTAGCTTTTAGTGAAGTTTGGCCTATTGATCTATCTCCTATGCACTGTTCTGCTAACCACTTACACGTATCAACATAGTTTTGAGAGACGTTTTCACTGATTTTGATCAACAAATGAAATAACAATAGTGGCCGCACGGTGGAGTAATGGATAGTGGCACGGATTGAGGAGACGAAGAGCCGAGTTCGAATTCCAGTCGAAGCCATTACATTTACTTACTTGCTAATACCCTCGGGAAAGGTATGAATCCTCTTCATCTGCCATGGGTAAATAGCAAGACAGATCGAGATCTGTAGCCTTGGATGGCAACTGGTCTACCGCAGAAAGAAATGGCAACCTACTGCAGAAAAAAAAATCTGCCTCGTCAGTCATGTATCGAAAGGTATATGATCGCCTAAGCGTGTATGACGCATACTGATTATTATTATTTGCGTATGTTATATTTCCTGTTTTTGTTTTATCATGTACAGCAGGGTCAAAACTATGGTCTTCAGGCTCTATAGAAGAACTGTCACTTAACTGATAGCATTTTTCTTGGTATATTCCTAGTACGGCGATTTTTTGGACAGCTTATATATTAATGAAAAGTCATGGTTACGCAGAGAATACTTAAAACGGTAAACGGAATCTTTTCTTGTGGAAGCCGCCAAAACAAGTAAAAACTGACAAAAGGAAAGTAATTTCTTGTCGAGAAAAAGATATAAACATAAACTACATAAATATATTCAGCAAGCTAACTCAAAGGTAATACAAACGCAATTAGACAGAGTAGGAATTGTCAGACACTGAAAACTGTGCAAACCTTTAGGCCTGATTATCCCATCCGAACCAAGAAAACTGGGTCTAATAAACTTAAAAGAAATTCAGACGGCACGCTTCAAATGATGAAACAAAAGAAAAAAAAGATTTGGAAATGAGAGCAGGATCTCGCTCGAGAGCTGGGAAACTGTAATGTGAAAAGATGTGTTTTGGAATAGTTACAAAAATTTTAAATTGAATTTGGATGTATTATAAAGTCGAGTAAAATAAAGTCCTTCAAAAGTTTAGGTCCCTGAATATAGTTGTCAACGGACAGTGCTCTGGGGACTTGTAACCAATGTAGGCGTCCCCCAGGGCTCACTTCTCGGAACAATTCTCTTTCTAGTTTACCTAAATGATCTGCCTAAGTGTATACTCCGCTCATTCGTAAATATCTATGCTGATGATATAACGATATATTGTTGCACGTTAAAAATTCGAGATGACAAGAGATTGGCAGCTGATCTCTCCTCCGATCTAGCTCTAGCAGCTCAGTCGGGGGAAAACAGTGCCTCGAAAACGAAACTAGTTACATTTCATCATCTGAACTACTACACGATGAATGGATGCTCCCTCACGGAGGCCCTGTGCCTGTGCGAGGGAAATGTGATATTGATCTTCAAACTGAAGTGGAACTCGTACATACGATATATCACTAAAGATACAAGAAAAATGTAACTATACCGCTCCAGTAAGTACCTGACTCCTGGTGCTATTCTCTACCTTTACAAGAACCAGATCAGATCTAAAATGGAGTACGACTGGGATATATGGAAAGCATCTCCCCAGTCTTTGATTTCTAATCCCAGTAGAGTCCAAAAACGTATTTCGTCTCCTTGTAGACGACAAATTATTTTCCATCCTGCAATAACTTCTCTAACAGACGAGATATAGCAAACCTCTCACTGCTGTATGGCTACTTCCTTGGAAAGTGCTCTGACGAACAACATTCCTTAGTTCCACCAGTTCTAATCTTCAAGGGTAGGACCCGCCATGCCACGCCCATTGTAACGAATCACCCTCATTCTCTACGTATTCAATTGGTGAGAAGTAAGTTCTACTCAAGCAACAGTTTCTCGCGAACCAAGGCTCTGTGAAACCGACACCCAAGAGGATGTCTTTCTGATCCCTACAATCCTAACCTGTTCAATCTAGGGTTAACCATCATCTTCCCAACGTATCCGCATAAACTGTGCCCCCTATTCTGTAACCCTCTTCCTCGAGTTGCTCTTGGGCCTTAATATATCGGGTGTAACAGCGAAATTGTCCACATCGTGTAACAGTATCTAAAAAAACAACTAATTGCGTTTCTTTTGTCCAGGTTTTCAGATAAAGCGTTTAACCATCTTGACCCCATTTCTCTGTAACCTTTTACCTTGTATGGCTCTCGAGTCTTGTACAGGGTGAACTTCATTGTAAAAAAAGACAAGCTGCCAGGCAAAAGTGATTTGGGTCTGTGATGATACTGAAAAAGATGCTGGACATTTTTAGAATAACATTTTGGCTTTCAATCTCATTTTTTTTTAATATACTTTCGTCCACCGACTTTGTTTTTTGGGGGGTTTTTTGCCTTCATTCAAGTATCAGCTTTGCTCATTTTCTCTCTGTCAATGTTTATTTCGACGTTACTTTCACTCTTCTGTTTCTTTCCCTTACCGCATTGCTTTCTATAACTTCTTTTTCGTTCTTGCCCTCATAACTGATCTCTTGCATGCAATTTCAAAACCCAGCCTTCCCTTTGCTCATTCCAAGTCCGACCCCATGCGGTTCCTAGTACAAATCCCTCCCATGTGTCTTGACGTGCCACGCCGACCCTCCCACTGACATTTACTCTTAACGTAACGGTCGGAGGCCCACGTGCCTCGTCCTGACTAGAAGGGCCCTTTACAAGAAGGCCCCGGACAAATCATCGATAAAAACATAGCAATCGGCAAGCGATTACCATAATAGAAAAAAAAGTCCGAGTTGCATCTGTCACCTCTCCACGAAAAGAGTTTTGGCTAAACAGGAGATAATCATATGCCTACAGTACTTTTGGTGACGGGACGGTGAGGAAGGGAAAAAGCGACCTGTGTACGTGAGGATTGGTGAGATAGATAACAAAAGTGGGTGGAGATATATTTCGTCAAGGAGAAATGTGACGTTTATGAGGCGGGAAAGAGTAAAGAAACACCGAAGAGACAAGTCAGCTTGAGAGGAAGAGGATAATGAAGTGAAAAAGGCGCGAAAACGAACTGAGGCAAAAATAGGATTGTTTAAGCTGACAACGGAGGGATGGGGGGGATCTCTGACTTTCATGCCGCTATTAGGCTAAAGGTAGAAATAATTAAAGAGATGAAATGTTATGTAAGAAGTCGAGAGTGGAATAATTGGAAAAGGCGAAAGAACCTAAAGCCAATGAGATGGCGGGAAAGCGAACAAGATGTCGGGAAAGTGAATAAGATGGCGGGAAAGCGAATAAGATGTCGGGAAAGCGAATAAGATAACAGAAAAGTAAATGGCAATGAGAGAAAGTGAATGAAATTTGGGAAAGTGTATGATATCACGGGAAAGCATGTGAGATGCCTTGATCACAAACGGATAGATTGGTTTTCTACGGTTTATTAACCAATTTTAGGTTATTTAAAACCAGAAAATATACTCAGATTATAAGAATTTTCTATATTTTTGATATAGTAATGTTTTAGAGACACAAGTATTACTAATTAACCCATATCTGGGGGGAAGAGTTGGACACATAGCGTTCCAAAATATATTTGTGCGTAAATGAATACGACGAACACAACGTGAATTGGAACGATCATATTTCTGTGTCATTATCCAATAAATGAAAGAGATGCGAATCAGAATGAGTAAAAAAAAAAGAAGAAAATAAACATGTGGGAAGAAGAAGGAGTGAAATGGAGAAGGAAATGGGAGATGATGTGAAGGGGAACTGGAAGTGAGAAGGAGAGTTAGAAGAATGATATTGAAAGAAGAATAAATAAAAAGAATGAAAATAAATATGAACGAAGGAAATCGAATGAGACGCTGAAGAAAGTAGGTAATGCGAAGAAGAATTAAAAGTGGGAAATAGAGTTAGAAGAATGATATTGAAAGATAAGATGAATGAGTAAATAAAGAGGAAGAAAATAAGGATGTAAAGAAAGAAGCATTAAAGAAACGAACGAGAAAAATAGAAGAAAAACAAAGAAAGAAAGAAAGAAAGAAACAGATGGAAAATAGAAAAGAGAGAAATGAAAGGGTAAAAGAAAAGGAAGAAATAAACGGATTATAAGAAGAAAAAGAAAGCAGAAATGGGCAGAAAAATGAATATGGATGAAGAAAAAGGAATAAAACGATGAAGAAGGGAGGTGATTCGAAGAAGAATTAAATGTGCGAAAGAGAGTTAAGAGAATGATATTGAAAGATAAGATGAATGAGTAAAAATGGGAAGAAAATAAACAGGAGAGAAGAAGAAGGAATGAAACGCAGAAGGAGAAGAGAGATGATGCGAATGAGCATTGAAATTGGGAAGGAGTGTTAGAAGAATGATATTGAAAGAAGAATGAGTAAAAAAATATATATATAAACATGAGGTAAGAAGAAAGAATGAAATGGAAAAAGAGATGGAAGATGATGCGAAGAAGAATTGAAAGTGGAAAGGAGAGATATTGAAAGAAGAATAAATAAATATAGGAGAAAATAAACATGAACGAAGAAAAAAGAATGAAACTTTAAGAAAGGCAGTGATTCGGAGAAGAATTAAATGTGCAAAGGAGAGTTAAGAGAATAATATTGAAAGAAGAATGAGTAAAAAAAGGAAGAAAATAAACAGGAGGGAAGAAGAAAAAATGAAACGCAGAAGATGAAAGGGGATGATGCGAATGAAAATTAAATGTGGAAAGGAGAGTTAAAAGAATGATATTGAAAGAAGAATAAGCAAAAAAAAAAACGAAGAAGAAAATAAATATGAGTGGAGAACAATGAGTGATATCGAGTAGGAGTAGAACGATAATGCGAAAAGGAATTAGGAGAATGATACTGAAAGAAGAAAGTGTAAAATGAAGCATAAAAAAAAAAAAAATTGAAAACGTTGAAAACTTAATATAAAAGGCTAGCTATTCAGCAAGGAAAATCACTTTTGGGAGAAATATGAAAAAAAAAATGACCCATTCCCTAAAAGAAGGCGTACAAATAAGCAAAAATAAAACAGTGGTTTAATTGCTTTGCTTTTTACGGCTTATCAACCTTTTGGGGAGTTATTTAAAGCCAGAAAATATTTGTATGATTTAATGCTACGAGTAGTACTATTTAATCCATACGTGGAGGAGGAAAGGTGGATTCATTCCTTTCACAATGTTATCTGGGCGTAGATGAATATAACGAAGGCTTCTGGAATTGGAAGTCGGCTCCGATTTCCAATTCCGAATCGTTTTCGAAATGGAGGTTGACTATAAAACGAAGGAAGTAGAGACTGACTACAGAGTCAAATGACCTTGTGGTTGACTGAAAAGCGAACGAAATAAAGTTTTATTATTAATGTAGTACAGGCTGACTTTAAGGAAATCATAATGGAGGTTGACTAAAGACGAATGGACTGCAGGTTAACTATAAAGCTAAGTTTTACTAAAAACGATGTTCTGACTGACTTAGTAACGAACGTGGTGGAGATTAGCGAAAAAAAAACCCAAATGAATTGAAAGTCGACTTAAAAACAAGGAAAATGAAGAAAGCAAAGGAGGTAAAGACAGAAGCATGAAAGAAACGAACGAGAAAAATTGAAGAAGAAGAAGAAATGGAGAAGGAAATGGGAGATGATGTGAAGGAGAACTAGAAGTGAGAAGGAGAGTTAGAAGAATGATATTGAAAGAAGAATAAATAAAAAGAATGAAAATAAATATGAACGAAGGAAATGGAATGAGACGTTGAAGAAAGTAGGTAATGCGAAGAAGAATTAAAAGTGGGAAAGAGAGTAAGGAGAATGATATTGAAAGATGATGAATGAGTAAATAAAAAGGAAGAAAATAAGGAGGTAAAGAAAGAAACATTAAAGAAACGAACGAGAAAAACAGAAGAAAAAGAAAGAAAGAAAGAAACAGATGGAAAATAGAAAAAGAGAAATGAAAGGGTAAAAGAAAAGGAAGAAATAAACGGATTATAAGAAGAAAAAGAAAGCAGAAAAGAACAGAAAAATGAATATGGATAAAGAAAACGGAATAAAACGATGAAGAAGGGAGGTAATCCGAAGGAGAATTAAAAGTGGGAAAGAGAGTTAGAAGAATGATATTGAAAGATAAGATGAATGAGTAAAAAAAAAAAAAAGGAAGAAAATAAATATGAGACAAGAAGAAGGAATGGAACACATAAGAAGAGAGATGATGCAAATGGGAATTGAAATTGGGAAGGAGTGTTACAAGCATGATATTGAAAGAAGAATGAGCAAAAATGGACAGAAAAATGAAAGAAGAAAAAGAACGGAAAAAAAACAAAGAAAGAAACGGAAGTGATAAAAACACACACCGGAAGAAGGGAGAAACGAAATTTTAAAAGAAAAGAAGGAAAAGAAAAAAAAAAAAAAGAAAGGTGTAAAAAAGGAAAGAAATATTTAAACGAGAAGTTACTGTAAAAAAAATGAAAGCAAGCATGCCGAATTGTTGGCTTCAAAGATGTGTGAAGTCATCGGAGTAGGAAGAGATTTAATTCGGTGACGAAATCATAATAAAAAGACGAGGAAAGATAAGAGTGTAATAGGATGGAGAGAGAAAAAAAAAGAACGAATAAATAAATATCGAAGAACGCAAGAATATGCAAGAGGAAAGTCTGCTATGAGACAAACAGGGAAAGGAAAACACCGTTGGATTTAAGAAAGATCGAGAATAGCAAAAGCAAAGCATTCGAGGGAGGAGAAAGTTAAAGGCGAGAAAAAGAAACAATGACAAAAATGGTCATTTAGGTAGGTTATTCTGCTTAAAAGGAAATCGACCGAAGATTCGTGGATACAAGTAGGTGTGGCCGTCCGTCCCACTCGTCGGTATCCCCAGAAGAAACGTAAAATTGGGGCGGCTTCACCGTCTCCCGAAACCGCCGGCACAACGCAAAAAAATGCATAATTCACATCCATTGCAGTTATCTTTCCTGAGGCCTAGAGCGTTTAATGAATGCGCAAGCAAGCAACCTGCAAAGAGTAAATGCTCCGGAGACACACGACAGGGACTAGACGAGACACTTACGAAATGTCCGGCACTGTCGGGAGAATAGTTTAAAGGGTTAGGGTGGTTAGAGCAATGTAGGAAAGACAGTCAGAGAGAAAGTGAAAGAAAGAATGACTATACTAAGAAGGCAGGACATCAGGATTAATAGAAAAGAAATTTTGACGAGTCACAGGGACAGAGCTGGAGAGAAAGGAAAATAACAACAAAGGCGGGGGAAATGGAGGGAAAATTTGGAATGAACTGTAGCTAATGTAATGTTAAAGAAGAAGAAAAAAAGGAGGAAATAAAAGGAAGCGAAAAGCGAGTAAAAATGAAAGGCAAACTGGCTAAGGTAATTGTAGAATGTATCGAAGAAGGAATGTAACTCTTGGAAAGGATTTTTGGAACCAAAAAACCAGAAATTAAAAGAATAAAAAGAAAGACTTTATAAGAAGACGACAATGAAAAAAAAAAAAAAAGGAGAGATAAAAAGAAAGACTTTATAAGAAGACGACAACGAAAAAAAGGAAGATAGGGAGAGAAATTAAGAGTATAAAAAGAAAGATTTTGTAAGCAGACGACAACGAAAAATAAAAACAAGAAAACGAGAGATAAATTAAGAGGATAAAAAAGATTTTGTAAGCAGACGACAACGAAAAAAATGAAGAGAGGAAGAAAAATTAAGAGGGTAAAAAGAAAGATTTTGTAAGCAGACGACAACGAAAATAAGGAAAAGAGAGAGAGCTGGCAAGAACAAATAAATGAACGATGAGACATTTGACAACATGAAAATGAAGGGATTGGTTAAGGCATTTGGTGACTGAGGCATTGACACGATAGGGGGCGCTTTCTACTGAACATGCTGTCCTCTTAGCACGACCTATCGTGCTTATTAACTTAATAGGGTCGTTTGCGCCGAGTAGGTGTAGCGTTTATATATATATATATATATATATATATATTTTATTAAAGACATTTTTATGTTTAACGTTCTTTTTTATAGATACAAGTATTTAAGTAAATGCTCTGTTTATAATAAACAGTATTAGATAACATTTACCGGGAAATTTTCATAGAAAATATTCGTCCTTTGACAGGATTCGAACCTGCATCCTATACGGAACCATCATTTACGCTGACGTCCCTTAACAATCGGCCACAAAGGAGCGTTCGGTAGGCAAGGTCGAATTTACTGCTTATAAACTTCAATCTTCCATGAATCTCGTACATTCATAACTGCTCTGGCGTATCAAATGTAAACAAATGACGTCATATATTAAGAAATGGACAAAAGTCCGACAATTTATTTTATTAAAGTCATTTTTATGTTTAATGTTTTTTTATAGATACAAGTATTTAAGTAAATGTCTGTTTATAATAAAAAGTATTAAATAACATTTACCGGCCTGAATGTCGAGAAATTTTCATGAAAATATTCGTCCTTGGACAGGATTCGAACCTGCATCATATACGGAACCGTCATTTACGCTAACGTGCCTTACCAATCGCCTCCGTATAGGATGCAGGTTCGAATCCTGTCAAAGGACGAATATTTTCTATGAAAATTTCTCGGACATTCAGGCCGGTAAATGTTATTTAATACTGTTTATTATAAACAGAGCATTTACTTAAATACTTGTATCTATAAAAAAAGAAGAGAGGAAGAAAAGTTAAGAGGGTAAAAAGAAAGATTTTGTAAGCAGACGACAACGAAAAAAAGGAAAAGAGAGAGCTGGCAAGAACAAATAAATGAGACATTTGACAACATGGAAATGGTGACTGAGGCATTGACACGATAGGGGGCGCTTTCTACTGCACATGCTGTCCTCTTATATATATATTAAACCAAAGGGCAGTTAAGAATGATGTCGTACAAAACCTCTTGCTCTACACTATCCAAGGAGGACATGCAAAAGTTTGCATATCACTGGCAAAAAGCAGACATGTGCGAACAAATGAGATGAATGAAAATAAAGGAATAACTCCAGAAAGTTAGCATCGGTTGGAAAAGGTTTGAAATAATATGTAGGTTTTATAAAATCACAATTAAAGAAAGATATTAACACAAGGAACCTAAAAACATATTTCGGCAAGTTTGTTTAAAGTTATTGAAACGTTGATGGGGGATAAGGATAAAAAAAAGTGACCTAGGTGCCTCATGGTGATGTAGTGGTCAAGAAGCTAGACTTTTAGATTATTAATACTGAGGTCTGTATTTGTACCAAATCTGTGATTTGAGGAGGCATTATACTACTCAATCTCTAGCGATAACCACCAGACATATGATGTCAACATGTAAATCCATGAAATATAATAATAAAAGATACTGAGGAGGGTGCTGGTGATTTGAGGAGACGTGATGTCAATCAACTTCTAGCGATAACAAACAGAAATGAGATTAGCATGTTATTACATGAAATATAACAATAAGGGATACTGGTGATCACTCAATCTCCATCAATAAGCACAAGACGTATGACGTCTCCATGTAAATGCATGAAATATAATAATAAGGGATACTGAGGAAGGTGCTTGTTATTAAGGGAGACAGGATTTGGCTCAATCCCTAGCCCTAATCACAAGACATCTTATGTGAACATGAAAATGCATGAAATATAATAATACATGATACTGAGGAAGGTGCTGGTTATCTGTGGAGACATGATTTCTCTCAATCTCTTGCGACAAACACCTGAAGTATGATATGACCATGTAAATGCATGAAAATTTGACCTAAGCGCCTCATAGTGATGTCATGCACAACAAAGTGGCCTTTTAGATCATTAATAGTGAGATCGATCATAACTCGACGCGCAGTATTTGTGCTAAATCTATGAGGAAGGTGCCGGTGATTTGAGGAGACGTGATGACACTCAAACACCAGGTCTGAGGTGACTATGTAAATGCATGAAATATAATAATAAGGGATACTGAGGAAGGTGCTGGTAATTTGAGGAGACAGGATATCATACAATTTGTAGTGGTAAGCGCCAAACATGTGAATATTTAAATGCATACCCTCTAAATAATCTCTGACATAAACAAATTATTTAAATATTTTCATTTCCAATGAAAGTATCATAAAAACCATTAAAAGTTTAATAAAAACAACAACGTCTGATTAATAATATCTCTGCTATTCGAACGGTTTTCCTTATTCTTATGATAAATCTCTTTTTGTAAATTAGTGTAGTCTTCATTTTATTTTTCCAAGTAACCAATTCCCATGACGCTGTAAGCTATGGGGAGCTTGCAACCTGATTGGTCGAAAATAATTAGATAGAAATGCAAATCTAAAAATAGGTTTCGGGCTTTTCGACACAGCACGGTCACGCCTTTGATAGGATTCTTCGTTTGGGAGACCCAGAAAAGTTTTAAATTGTTCATACTTTTTTTTTATTTCTTTCGTCAGCTCTTTATCAATACGCATCATTCTAATAGTATTCAGTCCCCCAGGAAATTAAATTGTGTTTCTCTTAATCTCTCAACACTGACCTTTGACCAGCACTAGTTTTTTTTAAAAGACTTTATCATTTTCACCTGAACGTTAAAAAAATTAAAAACATATCTACATAGATTTATTCCTTTTCATTTCACACAGTTTATATTATCTTTAGTGTGTGCGCCCATGTGAGACCATCGGTAGTTCAAATTTCTGTCTGTTGGAGAATTTGAGAATACGCTGTAAATGGGGGAGAATTCTAAAACTCCACGGAAGAGACATGCCAGTACTTCAATGAGCGGGGAGCCCATCGGAAGACCAAACTTTTATAAATTTTCCGATAAAAGTGAAATAACATTGGTTTGTAATGAGACGACATATTCCTATAATTTCATCTGTTGTTAGTGGGAGGTTGATCAATTGCTTAAGATTTTTACAAAGACATTTTTTTAAAAAAAAAAACTATGTCAAAAATCAACTCCCAATACCAACAAACAAAAATATAAGAATATCTCATCTCATTACAAAACAATGTTATTTCACTTTCAAAGGGAATTCTTATAGACAGAAATTTGGACTATCGATTACCATTCTCAAATTACAGTGTTTCAAAATAAAATTGTCCGTGTTATCAACTTTACTCTTAGAGGCCCGCAGTCCAACATATCCTACCATTTTGGAATCATGTGGACTCTGTGAGGAAAGTAAAAATATTCCGAGTCGTAATCCTGAAATTTTTGATTCCTAAGTTTTCATTACTGCGACTGTTTTCGTCGATTTTTAACGTGATTTTTAACGACAAATTTTTTTTTTTTTTCGTATAACTTGGAAATAAACTTGGGAATAATCGAAATTAATTCCGAAATCCAGTGTAAGTCAGCCATGAAATATGAATAATTGATTGTACTGAAAGTAAGGACCTACGTACATCAAATTGTCTTTAAATTAAGTGGGCGCAGAAGAATTATCGTTGAACTTTTAAAAGGCAAGCTTAAATATTAATGCAATACTTAAATGCAGCGATCAATTCTGTATTCTTCTGGAGTTTATTGTTGCCTATTCTATCTACTCCTCCCTAACTATTGTAATGAAGGCACAATCAATAGCCCTCCATATGAGCCATCGAGCTGCTTTTAGGCTAGTACACACACACACACACACACACACACACACATATATATATATAAATATATATGAAGAAATATAGTCTTAAGATGTGTTATATTTATGGGATAAAGTGGTCAATATCAGAGATAGAGCGTGTGTAAATATAGAAGTGAACATAGAAGTCAACACTTAGAGGCGACAGTCTGTTTCATGCTGGATGCAATCATCAGGTCTGACGATTGCATCTAGCATGAAACAAACTGTCTCCTCTAATGTTGACTTCTATGTTCACTATATATATATATATATATATATATATATATATATATATATATATATATGTATGTAAAACGTAATACAAGATCTTACTTATTATAAAACGCAGATTGTGTGTGTGTGTGTAGATGTCCACGTTTATATATTGATCGGATTTTCTGAAAACAATTTTCAACTGATTTCATAACAAAAGTCGTCATTCAACAGGAAGACGGAAAATTAAAACTTGGAGGTGGTTCAAAAGAAAAAATTGAAAATACAATTGTTTTGCACAAAATCAATTTGAAAACACGATTAATTAATGAGAATGAAAGGGGACAACTCATGTCGAGTTATAAAACAGAATAGTATTAAAAACCCAGGTTGTTTGTGTGTGTGTTCTTTATATATGGATCGGATTTCCTACATTTTCAAACTGATTTCCAAAAACAAAACTTCATTTTTTTTTTTGGCAGGTAGTGTTTTTATTGTCTTGCACACGTTTTTCTTTATTTTTACATTCAGAATACTTTTAAAAATTCCATTTACAAGACAATTATTTATAATAAAATATTCTATTCAATCGATAAACTCAGGTTTAAAAATTTGATAAACAATGTTTTTGTTTGAGTTTGAGGTTTGAACCCTTAAATTCGAGAAAAAAAAACAAAAAAAACAAAAAAACTAATTAGGACATGCATGTCCGTCAACCGAAAAAAACAATAATCTTTTGTCAATTTTATTTTTCAGTCTTTATGATGGTCGATACTTGATCTATCTCTTATTGTTACATCATGGAATCTTAACGTAGGTTCACTATATATATATATATATATATATATATATATATTAAAGAAGAGAGAAATATATAATTTATTTTTTTAGTTGTAACGTGGAATTTAAAAAAAATTATGCTTTATTTGCCATAATTTTTTGCTACAGGTGTTTTGGTCTCGCAACCTTCATCAGGCAATTTTTAATAATATGTAGAAATATCCACGCTTTGCCTGATTTTTTTCCACATTACAAACCAAAAGCGATTGCGGTTTCTCCTCCTTTTTAATCTACACACATTTCCCTCGTTGGAACTACTATAACCTCTTCCCTTTATATATATATATATATATATATATATATATATATATATATATATACATATATATATATATATATATATATATATATATATATATATACGTATACTGCATGAAGATTGTGTTGAAAACAAATTGTTGACATTGTATCTGTGAAGGAACAAAAATATAGAAAGACAAGAGACTAATGTACGTGCTATATAAGCGCTATAAAGGCCTTCACACCGCTCAATTCTTACGAAGAGTGAGGCAGTAAAGCAGCAGCAGCCGTTAAATATTTCCTTTTCTCTATAGTGCTCGATCGCCGAACGAGAACATATACAGGTAAGATGAGAACGAATAGAGTAAAATTCCAGAGTTCATTAAAGTAAAAGAGGGCTGAGGATATTAAATCTAAAAGAGGTATAGCCGAATGTGCTCTGATAAAAAGAACATTCAGACAGTTTTTATATATAATTTATCTTCTGAAAAGAAAAGAAAATACGATCGCATGAGAAATTGCATAAAAACTAAATAAAAGCACCTTGTCTGTCGTATTCAATGATATATATATATATATATATATATATGACCTTCAATATCTTCTAAATATATCAAGTAATAATATATCAATAATAATACTCAAAGTTTATTTGTTTCATTCTAGTCAAAATCATAACACCTTAACTTTTTATTCTGTGCTTATGAAGCCAATCACATCGATTTTTCACTTTAAAATTAAATGTGTGTTATTCCCACACTCAAAACTATAAAGTTTTGATCATAATTTTCAAAACACAACTATATTCATGTGAGTCCATCCCGAGTTCTTCATTTTAGTCGATATTAACGTTATTTTTTCCCCAGTTTTATTCCTATGTGTCATGATAGTAATAGATAAAGTATAGGAACAAATTGAAATCAATTCCTATATTGCAACACTATTTATTTATTTCCTTTTTGCCTACGAAATGTAGCACTTTTGAACCGGGAACCAATACATCATTTGAAGCAATGGGTGAAAAAGTCGGCCATTTGCACTGTTAACATTTTATCTATTATTCGTTTTAAATCACATTAGAAAGCATTTAAAGACAATAATTTCCCCGTAATTTGATTTGTCGATTTTTATGACTCATGTGCAAAGCAATGTGTTTCGGCTTTGTCATTTTTAAAACACTTGAACTTTCTATCATAAAGTTTAATTTACAGTTTTGTGAATCGTTCATACGAACAGGCTTGGTAGATATTTTATTTCGGCTTTTGGGGAAATCTTTTCGCAAGTATTCAGACGACATATTCGCGCGTAGAGAAGAAAAATGTCCGTGTCAGACAACGAGACCCAATATATAGAGATTGAGACAGAGTAATTTATAGATTTTCGGACAATTAGAATATCGTGTATTTTACAAGTTTGCAAATAAGTACTTGAGGCTAAATGTTTAACAAATGATATATGTTTAAATAAAAAGAAATACGTTTACTTCAGATATTTCTGTTAGAATTTAAACAGCATCATACCAGCATTATAACTAGATTTTTTTATATCTTATTTTAATGACATTTAGATCAAGCATTTTCGCTATTATTGTTTTAATATTAGTTTTATTCACTCTTATTATTATTGTCCATTAGATAATGCATTTTCACTATTATTTTATTTCTAGTTTTGCTCCATATTATTCTTCTTTCTTTATGTGTCGTGTCCCCACAGAGCGTAAGCGATCATGGCTCTCCACAATTTCCTGTCTCTTTCAATTGTAAATAAATTCCGCCTTTTCTTTATTTGTTAATAAACTGCCCGATATTCATATTTTCTTACTTTTTATTCAAATACTTTCAACTATCACAGTCATTGTCAAAAACCTTCAAACGCAATACTCAACACTTTATCCGAAAACTGGAAAAAATATAATCAAAATTAAACAGAAAGACCATTGATTTTTATGAAGCCTGTTTGACTGAATACTTGGTGCCTTATATATATATATATATATATATATATATATATAATATAAATATATATATATATATATATATATATATATATATATAAATTAATATATTTCATCGAGTCTGAAAGAAAGCTCAACAGAATGCACTGGACGGTATGTTTCTGTCCTATTTTAAGACCCACCAGCGAGGGTGAAAGAAACCACTACCGAGAATTGGAAACTGTGACTGTTAGGTTATTAAGCAAACGTCATACCAAATGTTCCTGTTAGGGTCCCAAGCAAACGTCATACCAACTGAGATTGCAAATCAGACTCGATATAGCACCGCTCGCTCACATATTCCGTGGTGGAACTCAACTGAGATTCTCTCTAACCATAGGACTGTGCCCCCTGGAGCCACGACTGCTATCACCAAGCCGCTCAAACTTGAGCATTAGAAGCCGGTTCAAGAAATGATATACAAATGATAGAAATGATTAGGAGGATTTGATAATCATAATTATAAATATATATATATATATATATATATATATATATATATATATATATATATATATATATATATATATATCCTGGTGTTATCGGACTGGATTGAGGTCGATCCGTGGTGTCTTTGGAAAGTGCCAGAAAGCTATACCACGGATGGACACAAGCCTTGTAAGTAAAATTAGGTAGGCGGAACTCTTGCGTGCCGTCGATAACTATGCTAGTACGAAGCTACAAGTCATCGTGGCCGAGGGCTTGAGCGTACTGGTCTTGTTCAAATCTTTGAGCACGCTAAATAAGACACTCTCTCCTAGAAACTGTAACTAAGGTCTGCTCAGCATAGTTGCAGTATAAACCACAGGTGGGCTCTGTGGGTGTTGAGCAAACACAAATGTACCTGAGCGAGCGTCTGCAATAGGGATATATATATATATATATATATATATATATATATATATATATATATATATATGTATATATCCAAGTATATAATTGGTATATACGGAATGAATTCCAATAACCAACAATTACTATTCTTTATCGGTGTCTATGTGTATGTAGAGTGCATTCACATTTAATTGTGTGTGTGTGTATAGGTGTTGGTTTCCCGTTTCCCTTTTTCATAAAGGGTTGTAGAGATGTTCCTGCCTCGTCGCCATTTTTTTTGTGTGTGTATATATATATCTAAATATGTCTGGGTGCTTATGTATTATAATCTGATTGTGTTTTTGTTGTTTTGCGCGTGAGTTTCACACACTTTTGAATAAAAAATATATATACATGTATTGCCAAATGACCGGATATATTGTAGCGTCTTGTCGAACGTAATTTCAACGAAGAAATAAATTGAATAACATATGTATTTTTTCCTTTCTCAATAATTTTGTAGTTTTTAAACTCAATAGTGATTAAATTTGGATTTTAAAATTGCCAGTTTTTAATTTTAATATTTTATCATATAATTTTATAATTATTGGTTAGTATAAATTATTTTTAATACTACCCATATTTTAAAGATCTGAATAGCTATTATAACATGATTTCGTTGTCAAGCTTTTTGAATCTTTCTATACTTGGTTTTGATTGGTTATTCTAGCTTTTGTAACAATGTTTCCCCAATGTAGGATCGTTAATTAATCTGAAACTTTTAAAACCATTTATTTTATCTTCAACATCATCACTTGATAAGACACTGAGGGTGTTGAAACAAAATGGCTATTTTTGTAGTGATTTTATAACATACTTATGTTATAATTTTTTTAATAAATAAAATATATATATATATATATATATATATATATATATATATATATATATATATATATATATATATATAGTTGTTTCATCATGAGAAAAGTGTATATATTAAAAAGAATATAGAAACCGCAAACGTTTTTGGTTGTAATGTGGATATCTTTTTAAATATGTATTATGCATTATTTTGCATAATTTTGCAACACGAGTTTCGGGTCTCGCGACCTTCTTCAGGAAAAAAGTGGATATTTCCACATATGGTTAAAATTAATCAATTTTCCTGATGTTTTTCGATGTTAAACATTCTGGATGTTAAACATTCTCTTTTTTGTGTGGCAGTGACACAAATGTCTTTCTTGAACTGGCAGTGAAATTGTGTCATGTGTGCGTGTGTGTAAGTATAAGCAAAGTTGAAATTTTTTAGTAAAGCCATGGATGGTTGTAAGTAAATAGTGACACCACCAATGTTCTCGTCGTAGAGATGAGACATGATACATCTCGTTCTACGAAAGAGAATCCCTAGTTTGCGCTGTTTTCTTCTTTTCTCCAGCCCCAAGGCTCTGTCTAAAGTTAGCGCCAGTATTTCAGGCTGGGAGAAAGGGCAATTGTTTGGGGGACATTTCTGACGCAAATGATCAACGATGAGTTTTAATGAGGCAAAGCAGAAATGTAAGAGAGAGTGGCGGGAAAGACGTCTAGGCGCAACGAAGAAAATGAAGACGATGGAGGAGAGGATGGCAGAAGGGGGGATGAGAAAGAGAGAGAGGGTGGAAGAGCAAAATAAGTCCAAGAAAGAGGGGGAGAAAAGTAAGAGAGGAACACGAGAATGAAGGCTAGGTGCAACGAAGAAAATGAAGACGATGGAGAAGAGGATGGAAGAAGGGGAGGAGGGAAGAAAGAGAGAGAGGGGAGGAAGAGCAAAATAAGTGCAAGAAAGAGGGGGAGAAAAGTAAGAGAGGGTCACGAGAATGATGGCTGGGTGCAATGATGATGATGATGATTATTATGATGATAGTGTGGAGAGGGTAAGAGAGTAGGGAAGAGGAGCAGAATAAGTGGAAGTAGGAGAAAAGTAAAAGCGAGTTACGGCTGGGTACAACGAAGTGGGGAGGATGAAGGAGAGGAAGAAAGGAAAGAAGGGGGGAAATGCGGACGAGAGCGAGAAGGAGGGGGAGGAGAAACGCAAGAAAGAGTCGCGGGAAAGGAGACTGGGTGCGAAGAAGAAAAAGGGAACAGAAGGAAGGAGGGGGGGAGAATAAAAGGAAGAAAAAGCAGACGGTGAAGAAGAAGAAGAAGAAGAAGAAGAAGAAGAAGAAGAAGAAGAAGAAGAAGCAAATAAGAGGGGGAGGAGAAAATGTAGGAGGAGGAGAAGAGGAAAAAGGAAAATAATTAATAAAAAGAATAAGAATGTTCACCCGTGAGGAAAGGAGAAGATCGCAAAAGGTATAAACATGAAAAGAGAAACTTAGGTAGAACTAAAAATGTAAGGTGTTGCCGGTTAAATTAAGTTGAGCCAAAATGCCCATAAAAATTCGGATGATGCGAGGAAATAGAAAAAAAAAATGATTTTAAAATGTCGGATATATTGAAAAAGCTAATATATCTGTTAATGAACTTCGCAAACGGCCGGGGTGTGGTAAACACGGACTTTATGTTACAATAAAAAGCGACGTAAATAAGACGAAAGAATTTTTCGTCATAGACTACTCAAAAATATCATAGGGCAATGTTTCTTTTCAAAACTTTGGAATATGTCAGATTATGTCTAGAGAGGAACACAAAATAAAATTATAATGAAATAAAAACCTTGTCGAAAAACGAATACGAAAATTATTTTATTTACATCATTTGGACAATTCAACTTCTATGTAGGTCGATATTTATTTAATTTTGCGGTCTCTTCAGGCCGTTAAATGATAGCTATAATTCTGATATTATTTGAAGAATAAAGATTTAGTATTCAAATAAATTTAAGTGATTGCATTTTCGTACAACTTATTATCTAGATTTGTTATAAATTACTTTATATTAAAATATACAGCACAAAATTCAAAAGCCGACATTTTACACCATTGTATCAAAATATGTGTGAAGCAAATGATAGTTTAATGCATATTGCGCATGCGTTAAAACAGCTCAAGTTGCAAATATGAAAACTTGATAAAAGTATTAAGTTGTATTCGTGTTGATTATTTGAATCGTTATCACTTAATGGTCGTTTTAATTGACGATAAAATTACTAAACGAGATCCATGTAGAAAAAAATCACTTAGTGGTTGGAATTCCGCAGAAGGACCCATTTTGCTTCTAATTCTTTCTTCGTTGCATAGGATTTCTTTTTGTACTTAACACACGATCAAGGCAAGAATGCCACTAGTACACAGGAGGTTACAGGGAGTGAAAGTGAAAGAAAAGTATGGGTATAGGAAGGATTGAGGAAAGGACAAAAGACAAACGGGATACAAGAAGATAGAAGATGGTGATTGATGTTGCATTTAAATTTTTGAAAATTGTAGTTATCAGGGAAGCAAGTAAACGGAAGAGAGTGTGGAGAGGCGGGAAGTTCGAGAAAAGAAACTCTTAGGATAGAATTGACGGTTGCATTTAGTTAATTCAACAGTAAACGAGTGGGACCTATATGCCAATCTAGTAGCACACTTAAATTCATGTAGTCAGGGCGCCAGGGAAAAAAGCACGCCAGAGCAGTTGGCATAAAAATATTTGCGGAAAAAAGAGAGGTATGCTATGTCACGTCGGTGAGAAAGTGATTCAAATCGATATGTCAAGTCAGGGTCGATTAAATTACAGATCCTTCTTTGGATTTTGTCAAGAATCTCGAGACGAATAGCAGAAGCAAATAGGCCAGATATGACAGCAGTATTCAATGCACGGGCGAATGATAAATCTTTAAATGTGCAAGATGAACTCTGTCGAGAAAAATTCTCTGGCACGACACGGTGACCTAACTTTCCTTGCAGTAGATGCAACTATTGATACGATGTAGTCGCTGACTTTAGTTCAGCTGAAAACTTGATGTCAAGAAGGCGTAGCGTGCTGTTCCCCAGGAATCTAGCGTCAACCATGCTGATGGCAGGTAGAACTCTATTTAAGATCTCTTTTTTTATATATAAAATATCTCGATATAAATGATTTTTATAAAATTAATAATAATACTGAGTATTATAGACAGAAAAAGCAGAATTCAATGGTACCCTCTTTCCCTCCATCCGTCCTGTGTTTATCAGATTTTCCCAGCCCTCTTTCCTCATTACGCACCCCAGAAATTTTAACTGCCTCTTCCTGATGTTAAGCATAAGTTTCCTTTTTGCTTCCAATTTCCCCAAAACCTTGCAGTTGCTCAAATGCTCAATCCATGCTATGCTCAGCATCCTTCTGCAAAACCACGTTTCTGTTGCTTCAAGTCTCTTCTTCATCTTTTCTTTCGCTGACATACAGAAGCATAGCTAGTTTCTGCTACAGCCTACGACCCCAATAAATAGTAAGGGCTATGTATTTGCACTATGTATTATATGAATCATTACTGAAAGCCGCCTTCCTCTCCCCCATCAGCATGGCTGATGCTAACCTCCATGAGAGTAACTCGTTACGCCTTCTCGGGCTTAGATTCTTGGCTGACATTAAGTGGAAAGACTATATTAAATCCATTGCTAAGTTAGCTGTTAAGAAACTTAATTTGATATGTCGTGTTAGACAATTTTTATCTCCTGAATCTATCTTGTATATCTATACATCTATCTTTCGTCCATGCTTTGATTAAAAAATATTGTTCACTACATATGAGTGTCGGTCAATTTAAATGGCGAAATTTCAAAGGGTTTTAGCATGAACCCCTGTTGTATGTTTAAAGATTCTTAATGAAATCCAAATAATCTATAACCTTCATTAGACTTTTAATTGTTGATTAACTTAACTTTTCTATTGCATCGACAACAACCTTACTTGCAGCAATTTGTTCTTTGCCTGAGATTTTTGCTTAAATATTGTTTCACATTTTTATATATATATATATATATATATTTCATTTTTTAATAAACTTCCCATACTTCTTATTATTTATTCATTTACAAACATTTTGATAACGTTATTCACTGTTTCCTTCTGTAATGGCTTGAGTGAGGCCGGTAAAACGAGTGTCACATTCTTCAAACCTATTTTCTGTTTTCATTATATGTCCAAAAAATCAATTGTTTTTTTATTATTTTGTTATTATTCTGTCGTTTGGTTAATACGTGTCAATTTTTTGTTTCTGTTTTACACATCGCCATTATCAAATTTAAATAACGCAAGCCCGTGAAACAATACTAAATTGTTAAATCATTTGAATTTAAGCCTTGGTTTTTCCTTTCGAAATCTTTCTTATCGAAACAAGCAACTAAAGGTTTCAAGTTTGTCGCTTCTTCTGCTTTGCACAAAGCAATGAATGTCTAACACAAATAAACTTTGTCACCTCTGCAACTTGCTTCCTAGACATTCTACATGATAAATGTTTTGTTGATAACGGATTGAAAATGCAACGAATCCTTTTAGCCATATATCAGGGTCGCGATATGCAAGAAATGGATTACGACTATAATTAGGGATCTTTGTCGTTGGCATCGTCCATTTCGATGCAAAACAGGTCTTGAATAACTTTAGGCTGCCCGGGAATCAAAATTTCGGTGAATAATTGTAATTACTTGGGAGTGACAACTTCATGGGTGCAATTAAAACAAAGGTATTCGTCTATTAATTCTAATGCTTCCTTTGTTTATTTTTTAAACTGTTTTTGTCCTATAATAATTTTTAGATTTGACTGTGTGCAAATGTAACAACCATCATGAAGCCGAAATAATACATTACTTCATTATTTTTCTGTTCTTTTTTCGGCTTTTCTTACGACTCTAATCTTTTTTACGCGCATTCATATCTTTTTTTTTTATAGTCTCTTCGTAATTTTCAATTTTTACCTAATACACCGCTTCTCTTTCCCTCAGGAAGCAACACTAAATACTATATCTCTTTCTTTTACTACCTGCTTTGCACCTCGCCCTCCCTTCAAACATTTTCGGTGGATAAAAGAATCTATTTCTGTACTACAAAACTCTTCACCCTCCCATTTTTCCTCTTTCTATTGGTACTACTCTCCAACCCCCAAACTTTTCTTCTTTCTTATATATATATATATATATATATATCTTGTATCTTCCCACTTTTATTATTTATTCCCTTCTCCTTTTCACATTCTTCAAACCCTCATTATATGTCCAAAAAAATCAATTGTTTTGTTATTACCCGTGTCCTTTTTTGTTTCGTCCTCCTTCAAATTTTTTCATCTATCTCTTGGTTTTTCTCGAAATCTTTTCTTCCCTCCAAGTTTTTTCCTCATTCTCTTTCTACAAATAAACTTTGTCTCCATCTTCTTCCTAGTTTTCTCTATGTTTTGTTTACGGATTGAAAACAACTCTTCATATATCAGGGTCCTCAAGAAATGGATTACGATTTTTCGTCTATCGTCCTTTCGATACTTGAATAACTTTAGGCTGCCCCCATCCTCTTCCTTTTCTCTATCTCTATTAATTCTACTTTGTTTGTTTATTCTTAAACTGTTTTTGTCCTCCGATTTTTCCTCTATCTCTTTGTAACAACCTCCCCATTTTTCTGTTCTCTTCCTTTTTTTTCTATCTTTTTTTTTATACTACTAATTTTCAATTTTTACCCTCCGACTTTTCCTCTATCTCTTTTCTTTTACACCTCCACCCTCTTCCTATTTTTCTCTATTCCCATTTACTTTCTACTACTCTCCAACCCCAAATCCGACCCTTCTCCTTTTTTCCTCACCCGCTTGTTCTCTTTTTCTACACTACTCTTCTCCACCTCATTCCTTTTTTTCTCGTTATCTCTCTTACTACTACTCTTTTTCACCCTCTTCACCTCCGACTTTTCCTCACCCTCGATTTTTCCTTATTTTTTCTACACCCCCCCCCCATCTTTCACCCTATATCCTTTTTTCTCTATCTCTTACTACTACTCTTCACCCTCCGATTTTTCGTCTATCTCTTTCTACACTCTCCACCCTCTTCCTTTTTCTCTATCTCTTACTACTACACCCCCCTCGACTTTTCCTCTATCTCTTACTACACGCTTCACCCTTCTCCTTTTCCAGTATCTCTCACTACTACTCATCACAATCCTCTTTTCCTCTAACTCTTCCTACTACTTTCCACCTTCCCACTTTTCCTCTGTATCTTACTACACTATTCACCACCCTCCTTTTCTTCTATCTCTTTCTACATCCCTCAGCCTTTTCCTTTTCCTCTCTCTCTCATTACTACTCTTCACCCTTCTCTTTTTCCTCTATCCCTTACATCTGGTTCTCTTCTGTCTGTTTTTTTTTCTTCTTTATTTTCTCTTCATCCTTCTTTTTTTCCTCTATATTTTACTATTATATTTTCCTCTATCTCACACTACTACTCTTCATCTTCCGCGTTTTCCTCTATCTCTCACTACTACTCTTCACCTCTCCCTTTTGTTCTATATTTTACTACTAGTTTTCACTCTCTTCCCTTTTCTCTATCTCATACTACTACTCTTCATTCTCCTCCCTTCCTCTATCTTTTACTACTAGTAATCAAACTCCGCCTTTTTCTCTATCTCTTACTAATATTCTTAACCCTCCTTCTTTTCTTCTATATTTTACTAC